ATGCTCATATTGCAGCTCTCCTTTCCTTCAAACATGTCCTTCCAAATGTATAAGTTTCCCATCAATTTTCCATATCCCAACACTCTCTCATTCAGTTGGTTCTGCAAGTAACAATGATACCCAGTGAAAATCCAGGTTAAGTTGCTGTTTGCACACAACTGCATGACTGACATCAAGTTATACTTGAAGGATGGCATGTATAAGACATCTTGCAGGATTATCTCTTCATTAATAATCACATCTCCTGCACTATCAACAGTTTTGAGTGTTCCATCTGGTAGGCATATACTAACTGGATTTTTTAACTTCGCCAAGTCCTTCATCATTCTTCTATTTGTACATATGTGCCTGCTGGCACCAGTGTCTATGATCCATTCATTGTTGTGAACTCCCTTAGTTGCTGATAAAGCAAAATGAACTCCCTCTTCCATTTCACTGTCTGTATAATTTGCAAACTGAGCATAATCCATTCTTTGATTCCCATTTTCCTTTCCTTTTATGTACTCAGTTAGCTCATTCAATTGCTTGATCACTGAGGCCAAGTCACTTCCTTTATTTTCTTCCTTCATGCTTGGTGTTTGGCCATATGACTGCTCTGATTTGTATATCTCAGCACTATTAGCATATGCCCTTCTATTATGTTCCTTGATCTCCCTGTACCAGCCTGGAACACCATGTATCTTAAAACAAGTAGAGATTGTATGTCCATTCATGCCACACTTATCACAATGTAGCTTAGCTTTCTCTTCCTTACTCATTCTAAAACCTCCTCTTCCTTTCATGTTGTTCCATTGGCCTCCTGTGTTTCCAGGTTTTCCAGCAAAATTACCTCTGCCTTGTCCTCTTCCACCTCCACCTATTCTAGCCATCATAGCATTAGTTTCACCATAGCAATTTTGTATACTCCTTTGCCTTTCTGCACTTAAAACCATGGAATATGCTTTGTTCACAGTAGGTAAGGGCTCCATCAACATTATTTGATTTTTCAGGTTGTCATAAGCATCATTGAGCCCCATGAGGAACTGGATGAGTTTTGTTTCTAACTCATATTGTGCTACTAACTTTCCCTTTTCACAATTGCAGCTTTGTACAGGCACTACACATGCCAATTCATCCCAGAGTTTCTTAAGCTTCCCAAAATACTCCATGACAGTACTATTTCCTTGGGTTAAGCTGGTTATCTCTCTCTGCAACTTATATTTCAGAGGACCATTATTTGCCCCAAATCTCTGTCCTATTTCTTCCCATAATTCCTTGGAAGTTTCAGCACACATGAAAGTTTCAGCTACTTCCTTAGACAGTGAGTTCAAAATCCAAGACAAAACCATCCAATCAACTTTTCTCCAATCAGCAAAAGATGCATCATCCTCAGTAGGTTTAGAAACTTCTCCAGTAACAAATCCGAGCTTATTCTTAGCTCCTAATGCAATAATCATAGATTTCCTCCATGGCAGAAAGTTGTTTCCAGATAATTGATGTGATACTAGCATCATACCAGGACTATCTGAACCGTGTAAAATGAGCGGATCTGATAGAGTTACCTTCGATCCTGATTTTGTGTTCGTCGTCAACAGCGGCCATGGATTTGCTCTCCTTTGCTCCATTTCAAGTTTTGAGCTTCCACCAGCTCGATCGATTCGATGTTCTGCTCTTCAGCTCAAAATCGATGTTTGTTTACAGCGGATTCCCAGAAATCAATGCTCTGGTACCATGAAGAAATCGAGAGAAATTTTTGTGGTGAAGAACACCATTTTTGATTAATCTAAAAAACTAAGTACAGCTAATGTCTCGAACGTGTATATATACACACGTATACATGCACATATCAAACAGAAATTGACCAAGAACGACGTCGTGTAAGGGTATACATGAAACGACGTTGTCTTTACTTGAAAGTCAAAACAATTAAGAAAAACGCGCGAAGGCGCCAAAACAAAGAAAAAGGAGAAAACGATTTTTAAGACTGGAATTGCATAATGGTCTTCTCTTGACTTGAACTGCACTCAACAGGCAAGACCACGATCAAGGTCCACCATTCCAACATATCAGAGATAATATATTTACTGTTGTCTTTTATTTATAGATAACATCTCTCGAAGCTTGAAAAGGATGATCGAGAAATTAATACCATCCTCCCTAGAGCAATTATTGCCAGAGTATTAACACTAGTATATAATTCTTTCTTTTTCAATAAACAGATTATTAAGCATTCAACTCCCGTCTGGGATCTTTGTCCTGCTCTCAATTCCAGTCGTTTTACTATTTAATATTAGTAGAAAATCGACTATCAACAATTACAACTTCCATTAAGATATCCTTCCCTGCCATATTTCTTGCTCATTTATTCAAACAAATATAAAAATTACTCTTTAGATTTTCCAATTCTCAAAGTGAGAACTATTTGATTCAATATGATCACTTATGAATACTCTGTTGTTGCATATGCAGAAGATGTGTGGAATATTATACAATCATTGATCAAATTTTATTGAACTTTGACCAATACTAGTATCCATTCTTATGCACATGCATGATGACAAATAAAATTTTATATATTATGCGAGTGTATACAATATTTAATATTTTAAATTAAATAGTGAATGTATTACGTGATTTTAATGAATTTAAACACCCATGCCGACTAACTAATATATGAGAAAAATAGTTTGATAAGACGAAAAAAATAATATTTACTGCAAAATAAGTATCTTAAAGAAAAAAAAAAAAAAAAACTGCAATACAATTTTTTTATAAGTATTTATTTTTCACATACCATTTAATGTAAATTTATAATTAGTTAGTATTAGTAGTAATTATTATTATATAAATTAGGTTAAAATTATTTACACTTTATCAATGTAAAATGTAACGGTTTTATATTAATTGAAAAAAACTGAGCGAGAAAACTATAAAAGTTTTGTTAAATAGTTTTATTTAATGCATCTGCCAGCAATTATATCTCTACATTAATTGAAAAAATGAGCAGAAAAATTATAAAAGTTTTATTAAATAATTTTATTTAATGCATCTACCAACAATTATGCAGATATAGATATAGATTAGTGGAATGATTAATTATATCAAATGCGACGGAATTCCTTTTAAATTTGTTGCATTGACAAGATTTCACTGGTACTATATTAAAATAGTCTTCTTATATATTATACTAGTGCATACCCCGTGCGATGCACGTGATACATATAATAAATCAATTAGTTCTATAGGACTTGTACATCTAGATCAAAAAAAATAAGCTTGAATCATCCATATTTCACATCTTTTAATAAGTGGCGTTTATTTAAGCCAAAAAATTAACATGTTAATTAATATATAATTCCACTAACACGTCATACTAATATTTTAGAATACATATTTATTCATTGATATAAGAAAAAAAAATAAAAATTTTATTTATTCTCGTTCACCATATAATACTCAATTATTATTTTTTATAAAATTTATAGTCATAAAATGTCATTATTATTATTTATAAAAGTTATAGAAGTAGTCTTCTTTATGTAATAATATTCAAAATAAAATTTTGAGTATAAATGTTTACAAAATACACACATGTTTTTTAGAATTCAATTTTGTCATAATAATTCTTTTTTTTAAAAAAAAAAATGATTTAGCAATTGCCAAAAAATAAATCCCTTGCATAATCAAGAGATTTTTTCTAATTTTCATCCTAAGGCTTTATAGTTTATTTAATACTATGCAATAGAAAAATATTTTACAATAAGTTCATTTTTGAAACATAACAAAAAAAAAGTGATAAAAACACTATCATAGTTGACAATAATATACAAATAAATAACATGTCAAAATTTTAAAAAATAACTAATATAATTTTATTATCTAACCATCAATAAAATCATTTAATGATGTGATCATTATCTTTTAAATGATAAATAATATTAATTTTTTTAAAAAAATATTAGTTTTATATAATTAAATAAAGTTTAAAAATATTACTCGACAAATATTAATTATAATGGATAAAGTCAGAACAATATCATTAGATGTTACGGCCTGCGTAAACCTTCTAACTCATGTTCACCTACACTGTTGCAAGAAAGTTCGACAAGAAAAAGCCAAATCCAGACGAGGATTACACTTTGACTTGAAAACTCCAAATCCAGACAAGGCCAGAGGTGGCTAAAGCCCAGGCCGGGCTGCGGGCCTCAAATATTGGGCCCATAACCGGCCCGGCAATATCTAAGGGCCAGTTCATTGAACCGGCCAGACTCAGCAGTTCTGGTTTTACAAAAAAATATAATTGTGACTCGTCGGAAACTCGGGCACAGCCCGGCGGGTCAGAAAGGAGTACAACACAACCAGTAACCGGCCCTTAAAGGGTTCCAGGCTGGTTCAAAAACAAGCTAGGGCGGGCGGGCCGGTTCAAAAACCGGCTAGGGGAGGCGGGCCGGTTCACGGGCCAGGCCAACCGTGGTCATGTCTAGACAAGAATAAAAATTTGACAAGAAAGCAACGTAAAAGAAAAAAGATAGGGGCCAAAATAAATCAGCCGCAACGGACTTATGTGCATCAAAGATTCTGAGATTGCTTTTGCTACTTCTGGGATCAGATGTGAAATATAATACTTGCAAGGCAGAATAGCAAAACTAGGCAAGTTTTACTACTATGATACAAGTTGCTACATCACTCAGCAGCACAATCACCTAAATAACTCGGATAAATGATAATCAATGTACCCGCTGGATTCAAGTAATCATTTTCTCAATATTATCTAATAAATGTCTTCATTTCAGTAGCATCAAGATTACAGCATGCTTTATCAAGTGCAAAACCAATAAAAAAAATCATATGAAGCATTTACAACATAATGCATATGCACAAAACGACAATAAAAAATGATGATCTGAAGTTCGCTAACCATCCTTATCCAAGAACTTGCAGAGCTGATGTCTTGATAGAAATAACAGTTTTTCTTTGATGGTTGTCAGCAAGCTCTTGATTGCCACAAAAGAAAATCCTTCTCACCTGCTTACCTGGATAGCATAGAGATATTAACTTTGCAAGAAAGTGCGGTCCAAATCTATCTCACAAGCCAAAAAGTATTCATGCTGAGCCCAACATTTAACCAATGCTAAAGCTCCATTTGACGAATTTGAAGTCAAGGATTTCAAATCCCTTATAAGAACAGAGTAATTTGAAAACATTCCCTCAGATACTCTCCACAAATCCGAACCATCTATCAAAATATGCAAGATTAAAGAGAACTTGCTGAGCCCACCATCCGCCAAACTGTTTAAATGATGATCTATATACAAAGATTGGCTACCTTGCCCTTCTCAAATAGCTAAATTGTTAAATTATCAACTCCTGCCCTCTTTCATAATTTCATGAACATCCATTTTTAGTCATCCAACTTCATATGTCAGGCCTAAGTGGAAATAAAAATAAAATAGACCACTTTCCCAGAACATGTACCTTCTAAAGACACCATATTGACAATTTATTCTCTTTACAGCAAGAGTCTTAATGTATTTTTGTAAGACGTGTACTTCACCATTTACGTAGCTGAAGAAATCCCTTGCTTTCAAAATCATTATTCAATACTGTCTTCAACAGATGCAAGAATTATCATTAGTGTCATCTAATTAGATTTTAGGGAAGGCCAAGACAGACAGTACCAGTGGCAAATTACTTATCCATAACTTTAATACCATATGTAAAAAAAAAAAGAAAAAAAAAGGGTGCAATATCATTCTGAACCACAAGCAATATAACCATTTAAAATTACTCTGAACATGTAAGCAATAACCCTTCAAAATCAAAAGTTAATATGGATGTACCTTGCTATTAATTCTTACATTCCAACCATCATTTTTCGCCCCGTAAGGTTCACTGACAACATACGATTGTGGCGGAACATAATTCTTAAGCAGAGGTACCCTATCTGGTAGATAATCATCGTCACTTTCATAAAACCTTTCAGTATGTGGTCCTAGACCTTTAAGAATCATAGCCAGCAACATACTAAGTCCCTGCATAATAAAAAATAAAATAAAAATAAATAACCTCTATAAGAGATTTAATCAAGATGGAGGAAAAAGATTAACCCATTAATAGTACAATATGTGAGTGAATTTGAAAATACTAATGGTACAGTATCCAATTCATGTTATGACAGTCCATTCGAATCTGTAGATTTTTATGAAGGTTTGTATATAAATTTTGTTGGTCTGGTGCATCATGCTTAGCTCAACAACAATGAAAAGCAAGGCTTTGTGTGTTACATATAATTCAATAAGAAATCAGTGCATCGTCACAGTAGGGAATATTAGTAAATGTATTTTGTTATCAACACAACACAATTATTTCACTTCCATTCAATAGTGGAAAACAAAATCTGTAATAGCAAGTCAAGATTGTAACAGCCGTATAATTAGTGATTCATTTATGCATGTTCGTAAAACTGATCTGAAGAACGAAGCCATCTCACTACAAAAGATACTTACGTAAAAAATAACTGGATGAATTTCACCAAGTTTTTCAGGCAAGTAAAATAAACAAATAAATAAAGAATATCCTGGAGTCCAAGCAATGATCCACAAAATCATGGAAAGAAGGGGAAAACTCTGATTGTGATTGATTACTTCTATTTGCCTTTCTTTCATTCCCTATTATTTTTGGTGGCAAGCACATGTGAGTTAGTGTAAACGAGACACATGACAGAGGATGCATAATCTATAGGCAAGGATCTAGAGTAAACCTGTACAGACACCACAGTCAAGCCAATCCATTTGCAGGTGTCAAAATTATCCTTGATGAAGTCCTTCAAGTGATCAAGATTTCCAGTTGGGTCCTTGGGGAAGTCCTGATAAAAAGCCAAATCAATATTTATCCAGTCCCCAATTTCAGAAAATATTTCTACACATAAGTGAACATAAAACACAAAGTACCTCCTCCCACTTGTGGTTTAAGAATACATCTGCAGTAATTGCAGCTTCCAGTACGAACAGAAGAAAGACAAAGACCATGTACTATACCGGTTAAGATCAACAAATAAGTAATATGTATATTATAAGGTGAATTGACCTCCTTTGAGTTCTTCAAGAAGAGATGGAAGAACTACAATTCTCAATAACACTAGGCATGATCACCACAAACTCCACCATCATATATATGCTAGACACATTCACAGCACAAAGATGACAACAGCTAAAGTAGCATGATAAGATTTACGCGTAATGAAAACCTTCTGGACTACAGAGACGTGTGCATCGGTTAATAAGTGAACCCCTAATGTGAAATTCCCAACTAAATTTGGAAGTCTTATAAATTTTGGAGTAAACCCAAAATGGCACATTAGAGTTCATTCATTAATTCACCAACGAAAAATATGTAGCCAGATGATGAGAAGCACAACAATTGAAACTAAATCAAAGAGTATATAAATATTAATATCTAAGATTTAGAATGCTGATGCTTGAAATAAACATACACCATGGATACGATGTACAGGCAGCAACCATTGATAGTTTCCGCAGCAATGTGGCCGGAGCATGAGATCATGCATAAAGTGACCCCAAGGCCAAGTATAGTGTATATGAACCTGCAATTCCATACCAAGGATGATACTTAACGAAAAGGGCCATCGGAAAAGGAAACAAGAAAGAAAAAAGGGAACTTTAATTTTCAGCATCAACAGAAAGTTACCAAGGGACGGGGGCTGAAGCCGATTCTTCATGGCGGAGCCAAACCCTAAGCATCCAAAGAGAGTAGATGATCATGGCGATCCCCACCATTCCTAAGCCAGAATTCACCAACTTTAGCAGCGATTGAATGCAGTTGCGCGCGAATCCAGCCATTTTCTTCGCAAATTATTCGGTTTATATCTGAAGATATAAGAAGCATACAAAAGATTGAAGGTTGAAGGAAGGATTGGTGAAAGTAGAAGAGAGAAAGGGAAAGGGGAAGGAACCCTAACTCCAGAAATCAGAATTGGGGGCGGAGGTAGGGTCTGGAGTTGAGGGAAGAAACAGAGGTCAAGGATTTTACTTTTATTTCGCACGAAGAAGAGTCTCTCTTAGGGCTGGGATTTTATAGCTGAGAATCAGAGAATCGAACCGGACCAACATGGTGGTTTTTATAATTTACAATTCACCACGTTGTGAATTTTTACACAAACCAGATCATTTATTAATTCACCACGTTCCAGTTATTTTTTGCACAAACCGGTTCCCGTTCTCAGTTCCTTCCTAAATATTTGTGTATTAACCAAAAATCGACTATATATATGAAATATACACGTTTTATATGTATATATATATAGATCGGTTCTGGTTCTTGGTATATAATATCCGGTTCTTCATTTTTTATTTCGATTCTCAGTTGTCAGTTCTAAACTCCAAACCAGTTATTGCCGGTTTTTTTTCATAAGTCGGTTACCCAAAAACCCGGAAAAACCAAACCGTTATAACACGGTTTGGTTCTTTTTCGGTTCGTATGAATATATGTGTAATAATTGAACTAGTTATTTCGGTTCGGTTCCGGTTCCAGTTCCTGAAAAATACGGTAGGAACCAGACCGATCCCAGGCCTAGTGTCTCTTCTAGTTATTTATTATTATTATTTAAAAAAAAAATAATAGAAGAAATCTCGATAACAATAAACAAATGTCTTACAAAGAGCCAAAAAGCAAACAGTCAAACAATGAGAGCAAGGTGGAATCACTACTAAATCATAAAACCATCTCCAGCCTTTATTTCTACTCTAACGCGGATTTTACTCTACTCTAGAGTAGAGTGAAACAAAATCAAGTTTCGTCTTCAGTTTCCTTGTATCATAACTGTTGCTTGAAATACAACAGTTTCCTTCTAAAGATTATGAAAAGTAAAATAAATTGTGGTCCACATCATTTATTATTCGGGGCACTCTTATAATTTTGGTAACGGCATTGCTTAAATTTGATTAACCCCAAGTTGCCGAACCTTTTTCTGGATTTCAACCAATTTAATTGATATTTATTCCAAACTTACATAGAATATCTGAACCAAATTAAAAAGTAAATAAAACATGAAGAACTTCCCTTTCTCAGAGATTCATAATGCTTGCAGGAACATCTTCAAACATCCTTATTTTAGATCTCATGCAAAAATAATATATATTTCACATTCTGTCTTAAAACCTAATCTATCTATCTACACACAACAAACACACTTTTTCCCGCTTGCAATATTGGCTGACACTCAAGAGAGCCCCGCCCTGCCCCGCCCCGCCCCGCTATCGCTCTTCTCCTTCTTGTGACTGACTGTGTTGGAAAATATCGAAATACTCACCGCACTTGTAAGCTCGAGCTTGAATTTTATTCAAATATTGTGACATTCTTTTTAGTCTTTAACTATTTTGTTTTTTCATCTTCCCTTTTGCTATTTATTTATTTATTTATTAATGTACTATTTTTCACAGACTTTCTCTCTTTTCCATGTTTATAGATGGAAGAATTTAGCTGGAGGGATATGAATGGTGCCCTCCCCCCAGCAAAAAGACAACAAGGACGTAAGTATATATATATATATATATTGTGTAGAAAAACTCAACTGGAATGTGAATGATTTTATTGGAAATTAAATGATGGGTCATGGGGCCACTTTCTTTGACTTAAACATCAATTGATTTAAATATTAAAAAGATTCTTCTGCAGAGTTCACAAATCACTTATTAATGTTAATAAGTCTTCTGCAGCAAGTTTTGGCAAATTATATCAACCAAATAATGATGTCAAGCGAGTCCTCCCCCGCCAGAAGAAAGGAAAATATCAAAAATTAATGTAACAATAAGTGTTCGTACAATCATGAATCGACAGACAAAAAAGAGATGGAACCAAAAATACCTAAGGATGAAGTTACATGCGAGTAGCAAAAGAGATTTTTCACAGCG